GGTTAGCAGTGAAATACCTTAGGCACTATGCCTCCAGAGCACGCATAGAATTCAAATGTTAATCATTAGCAAGCAAGCATATGAACAGTTTATGGGACAGCTTATATTCTAGGGTTGGAACCCTGCCTTCATTTTCAACATTTGCTTCTCAGAGACTCCCTGTTTTCTCTATGTTCAGGATTACCACTTTTCTCACCTTGTTACTGATAACATTTTATCATCATTATTATTTTTCTCTGTGAAGACAATTAGGCTCCATTAGATTTTGCTTGCTCTTATTGATGCTAATATACAAAATATTCTGTGTTTAAGGTGATTTTTTAATCTTACCCATTATGGACTCATTTTAAAAATTTATTCCTTGGAGTCTGCCTTATTGATTCTTCTATATAATGACTTGCAGTTCTTAGATGATAAAACTTTATTTTTTGCTAGTAGTTTCAAAAGAGTCTAAACCTTCTGGATAATAATTTTGGTTTAACCGAATATTAGTGATTTAAAATCATAAACTAGAATAAATTTTTATTTTAATGGTACTTTCTTATGGAGGTATCTAAAATACATACGTATAAACAAAAGTATATAGATGCTCTCTTCATGGTTTTGTGACATTCACATTAATTAAAAAGTAGATTCACAATTTGTTTCATAAAATTAACAAACTAGATTCTTTATTGTGAAGTCTCCAAAGAGCCAGAAGCTTATGAGTGAATAACAAAGCATTAGTCCTTGAGTTTTAGAATATATTTTACGAAAATTACATAGAACATGATTCCCAAACCTGGCTACCAAGTCAAGTCACTTGGGGTGATTTTAAAATACAGAATGGTGAGTTCGACCCACACATCATAAAAAGGCTCCTTGGGATAGGATATATCCATATTTATTTTTAAAAATATTCCCATAAAGTTCTGATCTGCAGCCAAGTTTGGAAACTATAATTTAGAAATAATAATTTTCAGAGAGAAAGCAAATATCAATGCTGTCTTATTTATTATCCTTAGGGGTAATATCCCTTTGGAAGAATTGCAGTGTGAGCAATCATGGGACATTGGATTTGGTGAGGTAAAGCACATTTTATAATTAACTATTTACATTGTCATGTCAAATTTTAGTATTTACAATTTAGTTTAACTTAAGGTTAGCTTTTAATGAAAAATTTCTTTGTATGGCAAATCTCTGCTTTTCTTACTCTGGGTAAATTGTAGCTATATTTAGAAATTATAATAACACATTTTCTTCTGGTCTCAGAGTCGTGGAGGCTGAGGTTCACATGCTTCAATAGTCCTTTGGACTAATTGTTTCATTATGTCTGATTTTTTTCGCAAGGACTATATGGTTCCTGGCTACCACTGCTGCCTGCTCTGAAATAAGAGGTCTAATAAGATAGAGTGGGGGAAAGTGTGAACAAAGCTCAAAATCATAAAGAAGACCAGGCTGACAGGTTTGATGAATGCTGGTAGAATCCCCGAGATTATGACCCTAAGATATCCTTCAAGCTAGGAACAAAAAGGAAAAAAAAGAGAGAGAAAAAATAGCACCTTTACAGAAACTATAATGTACTTTATTTGAGAGGAACAAAGTACTTTCTATAAGTAGTTTAAAATTTCCTCCAAGATGAAAATGCTTTAGGTTTCAATATGTCACACAGGTAGACATAGGTCTATATTTGAAAATATTGGAACATATATAAATATTTATTATGTAATGTTATAACCCTTGCTCATAATAAGGGTGTATGATTGTTACAACATTCTAGGCACTGTGCTAGGGACTTTATGTACTTTAATTAGCAAAGCAGATTAATGCTATAAGGTCTAAGCCAGGATTCAATAACTCCTGCCCTATATATTTGCAACTATACACATTGTTTTCTCTTTAATAAATATGCATAGAGTACATATCAATTAATTTAGTAGATATTTAATGACTCTCTCATATATGCCAGACTGGGGATACAGTGGTGACAAAACAGTTTTTATTCTCATTAAGCTTACATTCTGTTATGCACTACAATCTGTAAGGTACAGAGATGAAAGAAGCTGTAATCTAGCAGTTAGATAGAAGCAGAAATAAAATTTACTTAAGATAAATTTCTCCTATTGAAATTTCTACAGAGTGCAGTGGAAGCCTACTAATAGGCACTTCTAAGTTTCATAGGTAGTCAGAGAAGCTTTTATAAAACAGATTAACTTTTGAGCTGAATATTGATTGTTGAGTTTACCAGATGGACAAGCTGTCTGAGCAGCAGGAGCAGATAGGTAGAAATTAAAATATTAGCAGCATAGTTTATTTTAGAAATTACAAGTACCTTGTTTCTTTGTTATTACTGCTACTAGTATAGCATAAATTATATGGCTAGGGGAGTGGCAAGAAACAGTTGTGGATAATTCAAAGGACCAGGTCATAAATGATTTTGTATGATATATAACAGTTTAATTTCATATCACTGAACAGAGAGACACTGAAGAAATTTTAGCAGTGGATTATGCTGCCATCATAGTATTAAAATGTTGACTCCAGCAATAGTAAGAAGAGAAATGAGAAGCAGCAAGACTCAAGGCCAGGCAAGAAATAATGAGGACTTCAAGTTGGGCTGTGGCAGTAAGGATAGAAATGAAGGAAGAGTTATCACAAAGGTTTAGGAGATCTAGACTTGATAGGACTCAGTGATTTTTTTATTAGTTGAAGGAAGACATTAAGGAAAACCTGGATTTATGACTTGGGTAAATGGGTTGTTGATGGAAACGGCCAATCACCATGATAAAAAATATAGAAAGGGGTGGCAGAAAAGTTTAGCTGTACCCACTTTTATAGAATAGAGTTCCATGGTGAAATGGCTACCCAGCCAAAGAATGTGTTTCCTAATATTTCTTACATCTAGGTGTACCCATGTGGATAAATCTCACTAATGGAGTGTAAACAGAAGTGATGTGCATCATTTTCAAGTCAAGCTTTTTAAGAAGTTGTGGGGACTTCCGGTAAGGTGGAGGAATAGGCAGACAAGCGACCCAGACCCTCTTCAACAAAGAGAAAAGCCAATTGTCAGAAATACAGAAGATAATCCTGGAGCCCTGAGCTTTGAAAGGAACTATACAGACTCAATGGCACATAACAACAACAACAAATACAGAAGTGGATTAGGAACCAACTAGTAGAAGAACCTGAACAAAAACAGTAAGTACAGAGATGGTCAGAGCTGCGGACTGTCAGCTACTCTGATGGGACCAACAACTTGAATATTTCCAAATGATGTTGGGACCTGAGAATTGACCTAAAGATCAGCCCTGGTCACCAAGGGTTGCAGGGATAACTGTGCTAGTGGCCTATGAGTAAGGAAGGGAAACAGCAAGGAGGGAGACAACCTGAGCTGTGGACTTTCCATTGTCTGGAGGGTGCAGCCATTTTGATTGTTTACATGCAGCAGCCATTTTGGATATTTAAAGTGACCAAGGGCAAAGCCATTTTGAATGTTTACAAGCAGTGGCCATTTTGGATATTTAAAGTAACCGAGGGCACAGCCATTTTGAATGTTTACAGGAGGTGCTATTTTGGATATTTAAAGTGAACGAGGGTGCAGCCATTTTGAATGTTTACAAATGGTGGCCATTTTGGTTATATAAAGTGACTGAGCGCATGGCCATTTTGGATATTTAAAGTGATGGAGGGTACAGCCATTTTGAATCTTTACAAGTGGCAACCATTTTGGATTTTAAAGTGACAGCATTTTCATTGGGATTCCAGGGACATAAGAATAGGCTCTGTTTGCCAAGGTCAGCAGAGACATACAAGAGGCTGACGACAAGAAAAGGGACAGGTGCTGAATGTATAAGTGCTGTCAACTACTGAATAGAGGAACACAGTACCCTGCTTTCATAGATAACATACAAACAAAATAAAGATGACGAAAATCATGGGCAAATCACTCCAACATACAATCACCAATTAAATATAAATACAAAAACATCACAAAACTTGGAGACAAAAGAACATCACAGTTCACACAAAGGAGCAAGATAAAGCAGGAGAAACAAGGGACCAGGATACAGATCCAAAACACATCCCTGAGAAAGAAACTGCATTGGAACTCCCTGATAAGGAATTCAAAAGAATTATATTTAGGTATCTTCAACGAATTGAGAGACAGATCAAGGAAGACACAGAGAAAACCCTTGGACAATTTTGAAAGAAAATAGAAGAACAAAATGACAAAATAAATGGAAACTTTCTTTGTTGGTTGCCAGGGATGGGAGGGGAGGAGAGGGAACAACAACAACAAAAAAATGCATTGACCCGTGTCACTTTAATTTTGTGTATTTCACTGTACATAAATTATATTTCAATAAAATGCATTAAAAAAGAAAAAAAGAAGCAGTTGTAATGCCTTCTCCCTGTTACCTTTCTTTTTCTAATGGATAGATGGCAATAAGGCCCAAAAGGATGATCAAGCCACAAAATGGAAAGTACTAAATCTCTAAATCACTACAAGGAGAAAAATTGCCTACTGACAAGGAACATCTACTTTGGATTCTTACAAGAGAGAGATAATTGTTCTTGAGTGTTACACATTTTGTAATGTATTTTTAAAAATAATACATAGCATTACTCTTAATTCAGAGGAGGAACTGATTTCTACCAGAAGATGAGTTAAGAGTGATCTGTTGAGGTCAATTGAGGTCCTTTCAGAAAGCTGTAATCTCCATGGATATGCATACCCAAACCAAAGTCACTGCCACTGAGTTGTTTTGTGGAGATGTATAGTAGGAATTTAACTATATAGGTTTTAAGGTCAGAAGTTGAAGCTGAATAAAATTAAATCAAGTCCACAAGAGCCAAAATATTACACTGATGATATCTCACCTGACTTTAGAGACAATCTGAGGAATAGATTTGATACGTTGAACACCAGTGACTGAAGTCCAGATCACTTGTGGAATGACATCAAGAACATTATACATGAAGAAATCAAACAGTCATTAAAAAGACAGGAAAGGAAGAAAAGACCAAAATGAATGTTAAAAGGAACTCTCAAATTTGCTTTTGAACATAGAGTGGCTAAAGCAAATGGAAAAAATGATGAAATAAAAGGGTTGAACAGAAGATTTCAAAGGACAGCTTGAGAAGGCAAAGTATTATAATGAAATGTGTAAAGACCTGGGGTTAGAAGACTGATAGGGAAGATGTTCAGAATTTCTTAAAGCTGAAAGAGCTGAAGAGAAAATTCAAGCTGTAAGTTGCAATATTGAAGGATTCTATGGGAAGATATCAAATGATGCAAGAAGCATCAAAAGATATTGAATGATTCAGGAAGGATCATACAAGATGGAAGGAGCATACAGAGTCACGCTACCAAAAAGAATTGGTCGATTATTTCTGGAGGTTGCATATGATCAAGAAACAATAGTATTGAAGGAAGAAGTCCAAGCTACACTGAAGGAACTGGCAAAAAACAAGGCTCTCGGAATTGACGAAATACCTACTGAGATGTTTCAACAAACAGAAGCAGCACTGGAGATGCTTACTTGTTTTTGCCAAGAAATTTGGAAGACAGCTACCTGGCCAACTACTAGAAGAGAGCCATATTTGTACCCATTCCAAAGAAAAGTGATCCAACAGAATGTGGAAATTATCCAACAATATCTTTAATATCATAGGAAGTAAAATTTTCCTGAAGATAACTCAAAAATGGTTTCAGCAGTACATTGACAGAGAACTTCCAGAAATTCAAGATTGATTCCCAAGCAGATGTAGAATGAGGGCTATCATTACTGATGTCAGATGCATCTTGACTGAAAGCAAAGAATACCAGATAGATGTTTAGTTGTGTTTTATTGACTATGTGAAGGCATTCAACTGTGTGGATCATAAATGCTTATGGATAACATTGTGAAGAATGGGAATTTCTGAACACTTAATTGTGTTTATGAGGAACCTGTACAAAGACCAAGAGGCTGTTGTTCAAACAGAACCAGGGGATACTGCATGGTTTAAAATCAGGAAGGGTATATGTTAGAGTTACATCCTTTCATCATACTTACTCAGTCTGTATGCTGAGCGAATAATCTGAGAAGCAGGACTATATGAAGAAGAAGACGGCATCAGGATTTGAAGATTCATTAACAACCTGCAATATGCAGATGACACAACCTTGCTTGCTTAAAGTGAAGATGACTTGAAGAATTTACTGATGAAGTTCAAAGACTACAGTCTTAAATATGGATTACACCTCAGCATAAAATGAAAATCCTCACAACTGGACCAGTAAGCAGTATCAGGATAAATGAAGAAAAGATTGGAGTTGTCAGAGTTTTCATTTTACTTGCATCTACAATCAACACCCATGGAAGCATCAATCAAGAAATCAGACGTCATATTGCACTGGACAAATCTGCTGCAAGGGACCTCTTTAAAGTGTTAAAGAGCAAAGGTGTCACTTTGAAGACTAAGATGAACCTAACCCAGGCCATGGTATTTTCATTTGGCTCATATTCATGTGATAGCTGGCAATGGATAGGGAAGACTGAAGAAATGTTGATGCCTTTGAATTGTGGTGTTGGCAAAAAATACTGAAAATACCATGGACTGCCAGAAATACAAATCTATCCTGAAAGAAGTGCAGCTGGAATTCTCCTAGGAAGTGAGAATGGCTAGACCTCAATTCACCTGCTTTGATCATGTTGTCAGAAGTGACCATTCCCTGGAAAAAGATGTCATGCTTGGTAAGGTAAAGTAGAAGGTCAGCATAAAATGTGTAGACCTTAAATGACATGGATTGACACGGTGGCTGCAATGATGGGCTCAAGCGTAGCAAGGATTGTGAGGATGGCATGGGACCAGGCAGTGAATTGTTCTGTTGTACATATGGTCACTATGAGTCCAAGCTGACTCTGTGGCACCTAACAACAAAGGTCAGGAGAGATATGTTGTTTTCAGTGGAGAAGTTTTAACTGAATACATTTATGTACATGATTCACAAGAGAAAATGTATAATAATGTAAGATAATAACAAAGTTTGACAGAGTCTCCAGGAGCTGTACCATTTAAGTTTGGAGGATGTGAAGTGAAAAAGAAGCCAACAAAGGAGATCTAGAATGAACTACTAGAAAGGTCTGAGGAGTCTTAGAAGAGTGGTGTCATAGGGAAGAAAAAAAAGAGACGTTCAGGGAGAGAGATGTGGTCTGTAGTATCGGATGCTTTCCTGTTACTACTTTAAAGAGCTCACATTTTCCAAAATATGAATAATATATATGTATTTCACCCCAAAAGGAATTATTAATAGTTTAAAAGACTTAACCAAACTCTGTTTGACTACCTTTATATCTTGAAAGCTGGCAACTTGAATGTGCCTAGAGCAAGTCAGAAAAGAAACTCATTGATGGAGCCTAAAGGGGATCGGGTGTTGTAATGAGTTCTTTGGGCAGAGTAGGTGTGGTACTTTTAATATGTGATGTCTACCCAGAACTAAAGGTACATTGGAACCATAGCTAAAGTCTTAGATTCTGCCAATGTCAGGTGGTGGTGATGGGAGTGAAGTTTCCTGGAGGAAATCAACAGTGGCCACCATAAGTAGAAGGTAGGGACAGAACAGAGTGGTAGACAACTCCAGGTAGAATAAGTGGGTCTAGGATTATTACAGGGTTCCCTGATTCTGGGCATTGGCAGAGTTCTACTCTGTCTTTCATTTCTGTAGCCATGTTGTTTCTTAGCATTCCTTGGCTTATACATGATTCCCAAATGGTCTCTTCTTCCTGTGTGTGAGATTCTCTGTGTCTCTTCTGCTCTTTTTATAAGACATCATTGAGAAGAGATTAGGTTTAGGACTCATGTTATTCTGGTATGCCCTCATTAAGGCGACAAAAGAAAAACTCTTTTTCCAAATAGGGTCACATTTACATGAGCAACGGTCAGGACTTCAGTGTATCTTTTTTGTAGGGGGATGCAATTCAGCCCATAGCAGAGAGATTCATAGCTAATTTTCTAATCAGAATTTAATAAAATAAGAAACCAACAAAGATGTTTAATCTCCATCAACTCCCTGGTAATTAAGAAACACTTTGGGTTAGAAGAAAAAGGAAGGAAATAAAAATAAATTATGTATTATATAGAAAGTGATGAATACCAAACCAACAATATGTTCTACTGAAAATTTATATCTCTAAGAGCTTAAAAAAAAAGGAAAAATCTTAAAATAAATAAACTGATATCAATTTAAGAAATGATAAACAAACTGACAAAAGAAGTCCCTCAATTGCCTGCCTTTTTCAACTGCATTTACTGTGATTATCAGAAACCTTTCGTTTTTGTCTATAAATGATTTTTCTGCAATTTCTATTCTGTTGCTTTCTGTTTTGAAAACAATTTAATTTAATCTTACTGCTCCTAACAGGCTAATTTTTCCTCTTAGATATAAAAGCATTTTTCTTGAATTAAAGTAATAAAGAGCTCTGGTGGTGCACTGTCTAAAGTATTGGACTGTTAAGTTAAAGTAATAGAAAGGAAGAATGCTATAAAATGAATTGGTACAGTTTCAAAATAACTTTTCTGAATTTTGAATGAGAACATTGAAATAGGACAGATATAAGTGGATATTACTGTATGTGCTTGAGAATTGTTAAAATTTTTTGTTTTCTTCTAGGTTTTGATGGAAGAAAGAGGAACATGTTCTTTAAAAGACAGGCCAACATCTACTAAGAAAATCTGTCAGGGTAACTGTATAAGCCTTTTATCCCTTTAAAAACCTCTGTCATTTAAACAACAATCATCAGTTAAATTTTAAATGTTTTTTAGCTTTTTGCAAGCAAATATATTTTTCATAGATAGAATATACTAGTAAATGTAAATGATTCTTTAAAATTACTTGTATATACAATATAGATGATGAGTATTTAAAATAGATATGCACAATTTAATGAAGAGCAATAAAACACATATCCTTGTCACATCATGTAGTTTAAGAAATAATACATAATCTATATCTTTGAATATTTCTTCAATTGTATTTCCTATTCTGCCACCTAGAGGTAACTATTATCCTGAATTTGTTTTCTGTAACTTTTATTATACATAGACTTTTCATTGCTTGATTTTGAACTTTATGTAAACTGAGGCAAACAAATGGCCTGTACAGTTAAGCACTTGGCTATTAGCCAAAAGATTAGTGGATTGAACCCACTGAGAGGCACCTAGGAAGATAAGCCTGTCAGTCTACTTCTGAAAGGTCACAGCCTTGAAAACCCTATGGAGCATAGTTCTACTCCGACATACATGGGTTTGTCATAAGTAAGAATATACTCAGCGGCAACCAACAACAACAATTTGGCAATCCTACCAACCTTGCGCTTTTATAACATAGCCACATCAATAGGGATTGTGGAGAAACTATGAATTGTCCCAAATCCAGTATAAATAGGGAGTCCCTGAGTGGTACAAATGTTTAATCCTCTACTACTACTCAAAACCACCACTCGCCTGTCAGTTTGTCATGCTGTGGTGGCTTGTGTGTTGCTTTGAGGCGACAGGCTATGACACCAGTATTTCAAATACCAGCAGGGTCATCCACGGTGGACAGGTTTCAGTGGAGCTTCCAGGCTAAGACAGACTTAGAAGAAGGAAGGGGCCATCTACTTCCCAAAGAAATGGCAGTGAAAACCTTATGAATAGCAGTGAAACACTGTTTGATATATTACTGGGAAACTTTATGAATAGTCCTGAAACATTGTCTGACATAGTGCCAGAAGATGAGCTCACCAGGTCAGAAGGTACTCAAAATATGACTGGGGAAGAATTGACTCTTCAAAGTAGAGTTGACCTTAATGATGTGGATGGAGTAAAGTTTTTGGGACCTCCATTGGCTGATGTGGCAAGACCCAAAATGGGAAGAAACAGCTGAAAACATCCATTAATAATTGGAACATGGAATATACGAAGTATGAATCGAGGAAAATTGGAAGTTGTAAAAAATGAAATGGTATGCATAAAGATTGATATCTTACGCATTACTGAACTAAAACGGACCGGTTTTGGCCATTTTTAATCAGATATTATATGATCTACTATTCCAGGAATTATAAATTGAAGAGGAATGGCATGGCATTCATCATCACAAAGAATATTTTCAAGATCTATCCTATAGTACAATGTTGTCAGTGACAGGATAATATCCACATGCCTAAAAGGAAGACCAGTTAATGCTACCATTATTCAAATTTACACACCAACCACCAAAGCCAATGACAAGGAAATTGAAGATTTTTACCAACTTCTGCAGTCTGAAATTGACCCAACATGTAATCAAGATATGTTGATTTTCACTGGTGATTGGGATGCAAAATTGGAAATGAAGAGTCACTGGTAGTTGGAAAATATGACCTTGGTGTTAGAAATGATGATGGAGATTGTATAATAGAATTTTGCCAGACCAACAACTTATTCATTGCAAGTACCTTTTTTTCAATAACATAAACAAAGGCTACATACATGGACTTCATCACATGGAGTACACAGGCATCAGATCAACTCTATCTGTGGAAAGCGGTGATGGAGAAACTCAGTATCTACAGCCAAACAAGGCCAGGAGCTTATTGTGGAATAGACCATCAATTGCTCATATGCAAGTTCAAGTTTAAGCTGAAGACAATTAAAACAAGTCCATGAGAGCCAAAATATGACCTTGAATTTAGAGAGCATCTAAAGAACAGTTTTGATACTTTACACACCAATGACCAAAAACCACAGGAATTGTGGGATGACATAAAGAACATCATCCATGAAGAAATCAAAAGGTCATTAAAAAGACAGGAAAGGAAGAAAAGATCAAAGTGGATGTCAGAGAGACTCAGAGAGATTCAAATGGAGTCTTGTCAGTAATCACCATGCTGTTTCCCTCTAGCATCGTAGTGCTTGAAAAACTAGGTACAGCAGTTTGAATTAGGGATTTTGGTGCTCTGAACAGCTCACTGAGTCAGAGCACCAAACTCTGGAGTAGAATTAGAAGAAAGGCACAGGGGAAAAAAACAAAAGAAGATCCATGCTGTGGAGCACGGATAGGCAGCCAAGAAAGGCCATTAGAGACTTCCCTAGGGAGCAACTGGCAGCTGAGAATGACCATTTGAGATCTCCCTGGGTCAAGGCAGAAGACACACCATACCAGCATACCAGTGACCACACCAGCATACTAGGAATCACCCCAAGGATCTACCTTCAGCACCTGATTTTATCAGTAACTTGGGTCAGCTGGGTGCAAATGGGCACGTCCACCACTGAAACCCAAGCAGAGAATTCATTGGTGCTCCAGGAGTGTGGGCTCACTCCCCCATCAGTGGGTCACTGAATAGGCTTGTGTCACCTTAGAGGTCTGCACTTGACTTTATCACTAATATTGGGACCACAGATTACTAGCAGGCACTCTCCTGACTCCAGTGTAGCTGAAACAGAGTACATCTTTGGCATTGCAGGTGGGCGGACTCACAGAGGAACTCCTGAGCCAATTGTGGTCTGGGCAGGTTGAGCTGGTGCTGCAGGCAGGGAGGGCCAGAGAGAGAAACACCCACAGCAGATCGTGGAGCAGGGAAGTTGCCTTGGGTTGGCTTTTTGGTGCCAAGGGTCTTCGGGAGCAGGATTTTTGCATGTGTCTCAGCCTGGTGGAAAGTGGTGACCCCCTAACAACTGGAGTCTTTGCTGAAATTGAGCTGTGGGCCTGTAAGTAACAGTACGATGTCATTGGTAGCGGCCCGCTCAAAGCCCTAGAAACCACCCCTAGCAACAGCAAACTTTCCTTTTTCTGCTCCCACCTTCTCCTCCAATAAGTTCACTCATCCAACAGAAGTAACCACATTCAGCCAACATAAAACCTCCCAGTTCAAACTCTAAACCCTCTTTACGACAAACAGAAACCCATATCCACATTCCACACAATGACTCTACCATCACAAAGAAAACTACAGAGCAACCCAGCATACCTGAATTAATAACTAAATAAAATAAAATACACCAGGTTCACCTTTTCAAAATATTAAACCATAAAACCAAGACAAAACAATGCATAACCAACAGTTAAGGACAACCTTAAAATGTCTAGGAAACAACAGGCAACCTCAAATCAAACAAAAAAACAGGACAGGATATTAGAAGCAAAATCACAAACAAAGTTCTCATTATACATGGAGGAAGAAGAGGCAATAGAATTATCTGAGAATGAATTTAGAAGAAATGTTTAAAGAGCTATACAAGAGCCTAAGGAAACCCCAAACAGAAACAAGGAGAACACAGATAGTTCCCTGGAAGACCTCAGGAAAATCATTCAAGAACAAAATAATAAGATTAATGCACAATCAGAACACATACAAAAACAGCAGTTAGAAATGCAGAAGATGAGTACCGAAATGTAGAAGATAAATACCAAAATGACAGAATTACATAAGACAGTAGAAGCACAAAAGAGTAGGTTAGAACTGGCTAAAGAACACATATCCCAACTAGAAGACAAATCCCTGGACGCTAGCCTGTATGAAGAAAAATCAGCACAAAGATTTAAGAGAAATGAAGAGAACCTAAGAATTATATGCGATGGCATGAGAAAAACAACATAAGACTCATTGAAATTCCAGAACAAGAAGAGGCGAAAAAGACCACCAAGAAAATTGTGGAAGATATGCTAACAGAAAACTTCCCCCATATCATGAAGGAAGAAAAGATATTTGTCCAAGAAGCTCATAGAACCCCACACAAGATAGATCCCAAGAGAAAAACACCAAGGCATATTATAATCAAACTCTCCAAAACCAAAGACAAAGAAAAAAATTTGAGAGCTGCCTGGGACAAAAGAAATATTACTTATAATAATCAAACAGTTAGACTGAACTCTGATTACTCAGCAGAGACCATGCAGGCAAGAAGGCAATGGAACGGCATTTATAAAACACTGAAGGAAAAGAACTTCCAACCAAGAATCCTATGTTGTTGTTGTTGTTGTTATGTGCTGTCCAGTCAGACCCGACTCATAGCGACCCCTCCTTGGGTTTCTGAGGCAGTATCACTACGGAAGTATATTGCCTAACCTTCCTTCCGAGGAGTGGCAGGTGGGTTTGAACCACCAGCCTTGTGGTTAGCAGTCAAGTGCCTTAGGCACTACACTACCAGAGCTCCTAAGACTCCTATATCCAGCCAAATTATCCGTCAAATATGAGGGCGAAATCATGGCATTCTCAGACAAACAGAAATTAAAGGATTTTGTGAAAACCAGATCAACCCTACAAGAAATGCTTAAAGAAGTCCTTCCAATAGAGAACCCACAACAGAGATCAACAAAACCAGGATATGTGGCATCAACACTAAAACCAAATCAGAAATAGATACTCAAAATAAGACCATAAAACAGTGTACCTTAAAAACCAAGGACCTCAATCAGCACACAACAACAGCAACTAACCTATCAGAGGGAATAAAACTTGTAGGTACAGACTTTCAAATGGAGAGGAAAACAGTACAATGTTTTCACAGTATGCACTGTTCTAAAAATGTAGAGACAAGAATGTACTCCAAGGTAACCACAGAGAAAAATAACAACCCTTCTAAGCAAATCCAGAAGAAAAGAAAACATATGAGTTTAATAAGCACAAAACCAACTATAAAGAAGAAAAGGGAGAAAGCATGAGCCAACAAATCGAACTCAGCACAGAAAAGTATATGGACCAAAGAAACA